AACATCTGGATTAGTGCAGCTCTGTAAGCGCATTTCAGAAACATCTGGATCCAGTGCAGTGCTCTAAAAGCATTTTTATAAACATGTGGAATCAGGGTGGTTCTTTAAGAGCATTTCAAAAACATCTGGATGCACTGCAGCCCTGTAACTGCATTTGTATAAGCATATGGATTGAGTGGGCTCTCAGAGCATTTCAGAAACATCTGGATCCAGTGTGGCTCTGTATGGGCATTTCAGAACCAGCGTAGCTCTTTAAGTACATCTGGATCCAGTGCACTTCCATAAGAGGATTTTGCAGGAAAAGTGCAGTACATTTCTAACAAACTGCTGAATCACTTTTTTGGCAAATGCTCCAAAACTCTTCAGCTCAATGAATTAAATGAAATGAGTTTGATGTAAGCGGCGTCCTGCTGAGTGTGTGAGCTAAAAAACTGTGTCTGTGTTTCTAACTGTGAAAGAAACAGACACAAATGAACAGCACTTATCCAATTTCACCTGAGGCGCAGTGTAACACAGAAGTGTTAAACTCAGAGCACTGAAATATCTGAATATTCACCCACACACAGGTTGAGGACGCTTGATTGACAGCACTAAATTCCAGTGTCTGAGAGTTTGACTTGTTTCATTGGATCTGACTGGAAAGCAGTCTTTTTGAATGTGACTTACTCATTGGTTGAATGTGTAAGACTCCACTGTAGATGCTTCGTAGATGGTCAGCTTGTGTTTAACTAACATCCAGCTACAATATGTTTCATATGAAGCTGAACTTAAACTTATAAAGGCTTAATCTAACAGAACAGGTGACTGTCTTAAGGCTGCTCTTGTCAACACTAATGTCAAGTCGACATAACACCTATGCCAGGTGACACTGATTTGTTCTGACATTAGTTTTCGTCATGACACTATTTTATAACACCTGGCTTTGTAGATTAGTGTAATCACATAATGACAATGCTAATTATGTGACAGCTTAAATTCTCTAAATGGTAAAATTGTCATGTATATATCTAAGTCATGTAACATATGTTGATCTACAAAGTCTATGTCATTTCTGCCCACAAGGTTTCATGACACAACCTAATTATAAAAAAAAAAAAAATCAGTGTCACCTTACACAGGTGTCATGCCAACTTGACATCAAAGCTGGCAAATGCAACCTTAATGTCAAATAACAGCTATTGCAACAAGTCTTTATCAATGTTTATGTATATCTATGCCAGTTGTTATGATAAGCTTACGTAGGTATCATGTAACCTTATGAACCCTGCTCTACAGTAAAGTCTTATCGAATGTTACGATGAATGTAATAGATTCTATTAAATTTAACCTTAAATGTAATCCTAACCCTGATCTTAACTTCAACCCAAAATCTAATCCTAATTCCTTATATTTGTTTGTTAACAATTAAAGCTTCTGTATATAATCTATGGAGGACTATCACAATAAAGTGAGACCGCTGAACGTATTTGATAGTTTAAGATATTATAAACGCCTTCAGCATGCACACTGATCAGGCATGACATTATGACCACCTCCTTGTTTCTACGCTCATTGTCCATTTTATCTGCTCCTCTTATTATATAGGTGCACTTCGTAGTTCTACAATTACAGACTGTAGTCCATCTGTTTCTCTGATACTTTGTTAGCACCCTTTTACCCTGTTCTTCAGTGGTCAGGACCCCCATGGACCCTCACAGAGCAGGTACTATTTGGGTGGTGGATCATTCTCAGCACTGCAGTAACACTGACGTGGTGGTGTGTTAATGTGTGTTTCGCTTGTCTGAGTGGATCAGACACAGCAGTGCTGCTGGAGTTTTTCGGTGTACTAACAAGAAAGCTCAATGATATCACACAGTTGTGGCCCAAATGTGGTGCAGCCTGGTTCTCACATAATGCTGTGCTACTTTATCTAATATAGTCCCTTGGGAATCACCTCATCTGCTTTCTATGCTTTTTATAAGGATACAAACGAGAGAGAATGATGTACTGTGGTGAGTCTGACTCCACTCTGACCCCCAACCAACCCATTCATATTAAGTGAAAGAAATGCATTAAAACATGCTGAATGAGTGAGATTTATGAATGAATGCTGTTTCAGCATTTCTGGCCACTAAACATTTACACACACACACTCACACTCTTGTTTCTGTGAATTGTGGAGCCATCACATAGACCTCCATTAATTTTCCAGAGACTTACCTAAACCTTAACCAGCACTACTACTAGTCTAACCCTAACACTTACCCTAACCTAAACCTTTCCCACACCTTAAAATGTAATGATTTACATTGTGGGTTCCCCACAAGGAAGAAAGGTCCCCACAGTGTGAGTGTATAAACAGGTTTTGGTCCCCACAATGTGGCATAAGCCTGGTCCACTACACACACACACACAGTAGTAACAGGACGGGTCTCAGGGGAACCGTTTGGCCTCACTCTTTCTCGGGGCATGCAGTGCTCACACCTGCCCATCGCCATGCCGACCCTGCTCAGATGTGAGC